CAGTTCAGAATGGACGGGCATCGTAGTATGGCGTCATTTTTTCCGATTGAGTAGACTACAGCGTTCAAGGCCTACAACACGAATGATCTCAAAGGTCGTCGATTGGCACAAAGGTGTAAGAAGCACAAATAGTAAATAGGAAACAGACGTGGAAGCTGCGGTATGTTGCTCAGAACTGGCGGCGAGTCAAGCCTTCAAGCGAAAATTTAAACAATGAGCAGGTCCTACATATATAGAGGAAGTTTCAATACGCTTACGGCTGATAAACTAGCAAATGTTTCCCATAAGCGGGAAGGGGCTAGGCTTCTAATTGAAGTATTTACGGGCATTCACTAGTAAATAAATTTAGAATAAAGTACTTACGCTTTTATTTTTAAACGGGCTCTAGCAACAATACCCGAAAATTCGAGTGATGTTGAAAAGTGCGAATACAAGGTTTTCTATCGTTTGGCTTTTGATATCACAAATATGTACCGACAAGCGACCAATTGTTCAGCGAAAATCAACACATTCAAAAGCGCTCTTGCTGTCCGCATTGTTATTAAATATTCTTATAACCACATGGATCCTGAATTACATTCATATAAACTCACCGTAAAATTTCCTTCCGCGTAAAAAATGTGCAATCCTTCAAAATCCATCCAATTTAAGCGAATTTATAGTAGACAGTTAAAGAATTAAAATGTTTTGTTTAGAAACAGCACAACCAATTTAATACTACGAGTATTTCAAAAAAATCCGCACCTGATAGTCGTCCAGTTGTTGTTCTGTGAATGTAGCGACTTTATTACCCATCTCGTTTTGTGTCTGCTGCTAACTCTTCAATTTCATGCAGATTTTACTATTCTGAAAAATTTAATTTTTTTTCTTTCTTTTGGCCTAATAACAAAATGAAAAATATAACTCACAACATGCTTTCAGCTTAAAACTACTCGTAACTTTCTACGCTGACTTCTACAGCCTTACTAAATAGCAAAAGTTCCTAAACATTTTTCTAAAGTCAGCATTTTTCCACATTCTATGACTCTTCCTATGCTAGACGCTTGTTGTTTCTGTTCTAAAAGTTGTCCTGTCAGGGCACG